GATGGGATCCCACCTGTTGATTTTTTGTGGTATTTCCTGTAAGATGGAGGTTTTGTTCATAAAGCCTTTGCCTATATCATTGTTTCCAAGAGTTCTACCTATTCTATCTTCCAGCAGATTTAGTGTTTCTATTTTAATATTGTCTTGGTTACTTTTTTCTCTCTGCTGGGACAAAATACCTGACGCCCAAAATTAAGGAAGGAAAGGTTTATTTTGCTTACAGTTAGTGGAAGTTTCAATCAGTACTTGGCATATCATAAGGCAGAGTGGCACGTGGCAGAGGGCTGCATCTCAGGGCAGCAGCACACAGCTAAGCAACTACTAGGACCCCCACACCAGGGAGGAATGGCGGAGGAGGAATGCCCTCAAGCACTTCTTCCTCTCCCTTACATATGCAAACTATCCACTCCAGGGCGGGTGCAGCTCTCAAACCCGTAATAATCAAACTAACAGCCTGCCCCATGATCGCATGAGGCTTTGGAGGGGACACACAGACAGAAACCATAACAAATATGTACATTTTTGATTTTAGTTTAGTGCATGGTGAAAGGTATAAGTCTAGTTTTAATCTTTGGAGTGTGAAAAGTCAGTTTTTCTAGTACCATTTATTAAAGAGGATTTTTTCCAGTGAAGGTGTTTGGCTCCCTTGTCAAAGGTGAGGTGGCTCTGAGTGTGTTTGCATCTTGTATTTACAGTTGTTTCTGCGTCTTCTAATCTGTTTCATTGATCCTCAGGCCTGTTTTTTTGTGATGTGCGTGTGTGTGTGTTTGCCAGTACCATGCTGTTTTTATCACAGTAGCTTTGTAATACAATTTCAAGTCAGGGATTGTAATGCCCCTTGACTTGCCTTTGTTGCCCAGAATTGCTTCTATTTCCAAATGAATTTTAGGTTTGCTTTCTCTATTTCTGTGAAATATGATACTGGTGTTTTGATTGAGATTGAATTAAATCTGTATAACAATTTTGAAAGTTATAACCATTTTCACTATATTGGTTCTTCCTACCCAAGAACAAGGAGTATCTTTCTGTTTTCTGACATCCTCTTCAGTCTCTTTTTTCAGAGTACTATAGTGTTCAATATAAAGGTTTTTTAGCTACTTTGTTAGATTGATTCTTCACTATTTAATTTTTTTGGATACTATTGTGAAAAGTGCTGTTTCCCTAATTTCTCCCTCAGTGTGTTTGTTATATGTGTACAGGAAGTCTATTGAGTTTTGAGTGTCAACTTTGTATCCAGCTACACTACTGAATTTGGTTATTCAATCTAGAAGTCTCTTGGTGGAGTTTTTGCGATCATCTGCAAATAGTAATAATTTAACTTCTTCCTTACTATCCTTATTTCTTTTACTTCTTTCTCTTGTCTAATTGCTCTGGCCAATGTTTCCAGAACTATACTGAATAAGAGTGGTAATAGTGTACACCTTTGCCTTGTTCCTGAATTTAGAGTAAAAAAAGTTTTACTCTAAAAAAAGTAAAAGTTTTACTCTAAAAAAAGTTTTACTCTAAATCAGTTTTTTTTCCATTTAGTTGGCTGTTGGTTTGTCATAGACGGCTTTTATCAGATTGAGGTAAAGAACATCTATTCCACTTTTCTGTAGTATTTTTATCATGAAAGGGTGTTGACATTGTGAAATACTTTCCCTGCATCTATTGGGATGATCATATAGTTTTAGTCTTTGGTTCTGTTAATATAGTGTATTACATTTATTGATTTCTGTATGTTGAACCATCTCTGCATCCCTGGGGTAATTCCTCCTTGGTCATGGTGTATAATCTTCTTGATGATTTTTTGTATTGTTTGCTAGTATCTTACTGAAGATTTCTGCATCTATATTCATTGGGAGATTGGCCTGTAGTTCTCTTTTTTGGCTGGGTCCTTCTCTGGTTTTGGTATCAAGGTAATGTTTGCTTCCAGGAATGGATTTGGGAGTATTGCTTCACTTTCAATTTCATTAAAGAGTTTGAGAAGAAGTGG